AAACATATTTAGGAGTATATATATATATATATATATATATATATATATATATATATATATATATATATATATGTCTGCAAGATTGATTTGAAACCAAGAAAGATGGATGGATCTGTGAAAAATCCCATGGATATTAGGCAATGACGAACTTTAGTATACATGTATAGACACGTACGTACATACATATGACTGCGTTTTGTGTGTGTATATAATATAAGTATGGGTGCTTGGATAACCGAGTCGTAGGATTATTCCGACCTTTACATTGAAATGGGAATGTTTTGTTCTTTGATCTTTGAGGACCAACCAAACAAGGTATAAGTGTGTTTGCATGTCTTTTACCTATCGTTTTGTCGGTAAACCAAGCGAGGGAATTTTAATCATACCCTTTTGGACAAAGTATTTACATTTTGTCTTTTCTTTTACCTCATGTGTTTGTGGTAACTTCTGCAATGTTACCACATTTAAACTAAGCAATCATATATATAGAGCTGATTTATTTCTATGGTTCAACGTGTTCAGTTGAAACTCCTGAAAGATTTTTCTAACTCGCGGGATGAGTATTTGGGTTAAACAAGTACCATAGGGATTCTCATGAATTTTATTAGTATAAATATATATATGCATGTATGTATAGGTCATATTTTGATCTTATAGCGTCATTTTTAAATGATTCAAGGTTGTTATATCACAATCTCTTTTTCGATTCAACCGTGTTTTGATCGGAACTAACCAATTCACGGATGAAAAATGACCACTAGACGACGGTCCATCATCGAAGTTTCTATAATCTCGATGTTTGTAACTAAACCTATGGTTTAACATCATATTGATGAATTAAAAAAATGTTCATTGTTGTGTCAAATAAAAAAGCATGGAGAGAATCCTTGAGCGCTATGACCGATACTTGTACTCGGACAAACAACTCGTCGGACGCGACATTTCACAGAGCGTAAGTACTATTATTATTTTGAATCCTTGTTGTGTTCATGATTATTATTTTTTTCAAAAAACTTTCGTTATATATTCCATATACTTATCTTTTAAACGTTATTACTGCTTCTTAAATAAAACTTTCCTAGGAAAATTGGGTTCTGGAACATGCAAAGCTCAAGGCAAGAGTGGAGGTCCTTGAGAGGAACAAAAAGTACGTATATTTCCAGTGTATAGTCATCTATCACCTGCGTGAGATACGGTTTATATATATATATATATATATAAATGGTTTAAATGACTAATTGCGATGTTTAATTTTCAGGAACTTCATGGGAGAAGAACTCGATTCTCTGAGCTTGAAGGAGCTTCAAAGTTTGGAGGTGCAGCTGGATGCTGCCATCAAGAGTATCAGGTCAAGGAAGGTAATGATGTGCACGCAGTAAAATACACATGCATTAAGTGTGTGTATATATATGAGAGTGCACGAATACATGTTTGTGCTTATATATATATATACACACACGTAAGAGTTATTGATTTTATGGTCGTTAATCGGAAATTTGCGTGATCCTGATGCCTAATTTGTGCAGAACCAAGTCATGTTCGAATCCATATCTCAGCTTCAGAAGAAGGTAAGAGAGAGAGAGATTGAATGCGTGTGAAGACAGACTTGTGTTTCAATTTTTTTTCTTTCCTGTAACCGGTTATTACATATATAATATGTGATCTTGACGACCGTGTAATTATTGTTGTGCCTCGTCAGGACAAGGCCCTGCGAGAGCAAAATAACCAGCTTCTCAAAAAGGTTAGATATATATATATACACATATTTGCTCCCACAGTAATCAATTCATTTTTTTTATCAAACTAATTAAATAGTTTAATCAAACGAAATTTCAACACTGTGTTGATGAACCTGTTTCATTAGATCTAAGTTTGGGTAGTATAGTAGTAGGAGGGCATGTAAAATATGTTTTTATCTCGGATTTAAATTCAAACGTGGGGAGAGATATTCACTCGTATTTCTCAAATAAATATAGTTATGCAAAAAATTTAGTGAAATTTCAGATTATAAAAAAAAAAACTATCTCGTACTCATAATATTCACCTTACTGGATATTATAGTATTAAATGCATGCGGAGCCATTTGATTGAAAAAGTGAAATGAACAGATTAAGGAGAGAGGGACGATAATGGCTCGTGAAGATCAGCCTCAATTCCAAGCCTCCAACTCTTCCTCTACTCTTCCCACTCCATACTCAACCTCCAACAGGTCTCTCTCTCTCTCGCTCTCTCTCTCATTACAAAACGACGTACAGTTCGTGTATACCTATATACTAACCCATATCTTTGCTCGTATATATGTATATGTATTTGTGCACATGCATATATATCACGTGATGGTTTTCCAAAGCCTGGTCGAGATTTCACCGAGTAACTATACTTTGTACAGAAATGGTTTCGCGGAGAGAGTCGACGGCGCAAACCCAGGCAACCCCCCGTCTTTGAATGAACCCAATCCCCTTTTTCCTGCTTGGATGATTCGTCCCACCAACGAATAACAATATATATATATATAGAATCATATCGTTTTATACACACAATGTGTCAGTTATGGGTTCATAATCTCCATGGTCTAACAGTTTTGGCAAATATTGGTCATTGATGTTTGATAATTTCTGATGCTGGCTTATATATATGCCGATCGAGGATATGTACGGACAAGAAGGATATATATTGATGCTCCCTTAAGTCGTCACCATCACGCATGATTACCAACTAATTGAGCTATGTATATAATATAATACTACAAAGTGTATACGTAAATAATCAAGGACCCATATATATGCATGCATGTCTGTGAGCGCGTCCATGCGTGACATCGTTCAGTAGAGATATATCAAATACGCACACTAAATTTGACATGACATAAGCAAACATCGACTTTTAATTCAATCGCATTACACAGAGACATTTACAGTTATAAAACAAAAATGCATGGAATTGCGTAACGTATCATCATCACCGTTTCTCTTGGTCGATCTATCATACGGGCTGGGCCAACCCGCCGACTCCGATAATTTTTTAGGCCAACCCCTGATTGTGGAATCGCTTCCCCATTTTGTGGAGAACTGAATGTTTTCGGCCCATCAGGTCCGTTCGATAGCCAGTACGATCAAAATGTAACGTTAATATCACCGCCGCCATGGAGATCTAGGGTTGTGTTTTTTCCTCCTCTTTTGTAGTAATAAATTACTTTTGAATTAATCTTTTAATTAATGATCGGGATATGATGTGGGCCACCACCCCAAAGGGCTGTCATTTCTGACCTGGATGCCATATGTTTGGATTGATTTTATGAGACACTGTAGATATTGACCGTATTATTATTATTATTCGACAATAAATATTAAAAATATAATTAATATGTAATGGAACGACAAACTTTCGAGTTATAAAATCATACCAAAAAAAACTTTCGAATTATAAAAAAATAGTACAATAAAATGAAATATTTTGTGGCATTGAATTTCTCAAAAAGGAATATACGCTTATTTAATCATTGTCAAGAGGAATAAATGCGTAATTGATTCGAAAGGATGGGTCCTTTTTCAAAATAATATTTTATTTTCTGTGCCATTTTTTGGTTGAATGATAATATGATATGGTAGCGCATCGTGCATTCACAAATATATATATATATATATATATATATATATATCCCACCACTCTTCGCATAGAGTTGCATCATCATCGGCTCTCTGTTTTATTATCTACGTACGTTTTTTTTTCTACAAATCGATATTCCGTAAATTATTCGTATTAAAAGTAATCTGTCATGGAGATTTATAAACCCAATCTATATATGTCAGGGAACCGCAATTTTCGGTTTAAAGATATCTACCATCCAAAATCAATCTTATATACACTTTGGAAAATTATATTCATAGACAAATAAAAATATAGTTTTTTTATTAAGAGTATATTTAAAAAAATTCAGAAAAATATTTTATATTTTCGGTTTATATTGTATAATTGGTTCTAAACAAATAAATTTTCTAGGTTCATTATATAATAAATAATTTGTACCTAAAAATTCTTGTACTTAAATACAAGCATAATTTAAAATACATTTTTAAAAATTATTCCCTCCGTTTCAGATTAATTGTAGTTTTAGGATTTTTCACATTTTTTAAGAAAAGAGAGAAAAAGACACATATAACCTTATTTAATGATAAAAATAATGTTATCACTAATAATTTATTGGAATTTGGGAAGGATAAAATTGGAAACTATTGTAAAAAACTATCTTGGAAATGTAGAATGACAAATATTTTGAAACATGGAAAATAAACTAAAACTACAAATATTTTGAAACGGAGGGAGTACTATTTTTATTTTGCTCCGACTCTTACTATATATATATGTATTTGGTCGTTGAATTGTACCATGGTCCAATTTAAATGGTGCGAGAATTTATTTTATATATTTTTGGGCATCAAGCTCAATTTTATTATTTAGTTTGATTATCATCTCGGACTGCGTTCCAATTATACTTTCCGAGAAGGGCACTGGACAGTCGACATGTGCGAGCTTTTTGTTTTTCCACCAATCAATATACGACTTTGTGAAAACCCAAAAAAGATCGACGAATATATAACATAAGATAAAGAATGGCGAAACTCTTTATTATTGTCATAACTCGACATTATTTTTCCAAGTAACTACACATTTATTACACGCCACGTGGCAAACACCAATCAACGGGAGACAAGAAGATCACATCTCCTGATAGTGATGGAGGGACAGCCGGACAGGGATCACGGGCAAGAAAAATCAACGCTTAGTTGATTTTCTGTCCCACGAATTATTTAATGAATTAGATAGCTCAGACTAAAACACGAACCACGAACCCGGCGAACTCGCACTGTTCTGTAACTTGTTCTCGTCGCAGTTCCAACAACTCGGGAACTCTTCCCCAGGTGTAATGTCGAGCGAATCTTTGGTATGATTGTCGCCGATAATTTCTTCTAACTCTTCCATAAAACCAACATTATCCATTTCCATCATGTAATTATCCGACATCTCTCCGTTATTACCAAACAAATTGGCCAACTCGAGCCGACGTTCATCGACCAGAGAAAAATCTTCGCTTGGTGTACTGATCAGACACCCGATGGAATCGAATTCCGTCGTGGAAGTTTCTAGAAAGTCGTCGGAGAACCCCGAAGAAATTGACGTGGACAAAGATAAGTTCTTCTCGCTTTCGTAATTCCCCGTAAAAATCGACTTGATAGCATTTGTTTTGGCTGCCATCTTGTTCTGTGAATCATCGCCAGAGATTCCGTTGATGATTCCGGCCAGAAGATTCCGGTTGAGATCAATGGCGAGTTTGGTGGCGACACGGTTAATGACCATAACCGAACCGGAAGAACCGGCCGGTTTATGAGAGTCGGGTTGGCACTCGGTTTTCCCTGTTTCATTTTTGGCCGAATGGATCGGTTCATGTGTAATTGGATCGATGCCCTTTTTTACCAAACGTTTCCTGATATGAGTGTTCCAAAAGTTTTTGATCTCGTTGTCAGTTCGTCCCGGCAAACGAGTGGCAATTGACGCCCATCTAAACAATATAAAAAAATATATATATTAAATTAATTAGCAATTAACCAACACTATTTAAATAACGATTATTGTTTTTTTTTTCCAATATGTGCCACAATGTGAACAAATGTACAATGTATCTCGGTTGGATACAAAAGCAAGACAGCGTCGAAAGAAAACAAAATTTAAAAAAAAAAACCTTTTGAATTATCAAAACCGGTTCTCGAATTGCACAATGCGATTACATTTTCCTCTCCTTTTAAAGATTCTCGATATCATACGATAATTAAGACACGTGTATATATATATATATATAGAGAGAGAGAGATTCTTACTTGTTACCCTTTATAGCATGGAGCTTGATAATTGTGTCTTCTTCCTCGGTACTAAACTCTCCTCTCTTAATGTTGGGTCTTAGATAATTTGCCCACCTCAGTCGACAACTTTTCCCGCATCTCTTTAATCCTACAATTGAAAACAAATAACAAATGCTAATTATTCAAATCACCATTTATTATTTAATTAAGAAAGATGATAATAATATTATAAATTGGATAGAAAAAATACATATATACGTACATACATACATACATACATACATACCGGCTTTTTCTGGGAGAGTACGCCAGCCACCTTCACCATGTTCTTGAAGATAAGCAATGAGCTTCTGATCTTCCTCAGGCGTCCATGCACCTTTCTTCAGTCCTGCTTTGCAACATGGCGTCCTCACCATTCTTCTACTTAATTAGGCTGATTAATTACTGATTTATTCAGCTGATTAAATTCTAATATATCTAGAAAGACCAAATTAACCCTAATGCATCATGCATTCACGGAACTCGCCGTTTTTTCGAGGAACCCTAGTTTCCAAAGATGCGGCGAAGAAGAGGAGAGAGGGATCGGTCAAGAAAGAAGAAGATGGCTACAAGAACTTGATGGACCTCCTGATCAACACCATTAGACACCTGAAAATTTTTCTCACGGAAATACTTCGATGGCGAGGAAGACGATACCCTTGTTTCATTTCGTTCATGGGAGACGCGAGATGAAATTAAAATAAACGGAAACCGCAATGGATGGTTGGCGGTGCTGTGAGAAGAGAGGTGAAGCTTGAGCTGCTCATGTTGCGCTTAGTTGGAGGAACAACGGGGGGGAAGAGTCGCCTCTGTTTATATGGGTCACCGGACACGCCGTGTTTCCACGTGTCGCATGCCTATTGGTAGTACCAAAATGTGTCGGGATGTGTAGTCCACGAAATGATGCACTGACACTGTCTGATTGATATATCCGGCCCGTGTGTTCTTCTGTTTGCTTGCGAAATTATTGTCCATGAATCATGATTAAACAGAATTTCGCTCAAAGGATTTTTATGTGTTATCTCCGAATTTATTTCCGTGCGAATACGAGGTCATTCATGTTTCTAATTTGCTCCATTGGTCTTGATGTGATAGATATTCACTCCAAAAATAAGTTTAGTTCGGTTATTTAACGAATATTCTATATAAAAATATATCGAAACAAATGTGGAAATCAACCGACACTTTGAAACACGTGGGAAATGCATTAATTTTTCTACCTAAAAAATAAAAAAATACTTCTAATAGGTTTCAGATTTAGAATTATAATTAATTTTTTAATGAAAGAAAATGAAAGAGAGAGCTCACTGATCCACTTTGTACCTTGAAAGATTGGTTTCCCACTTACTTCGAAATGTGTGTCGGGTTGAATGGTCAATAAAAAAGTTGATTAATGAGCATATAAAATAATATAAAAATCTTCGAATAACGTGTGTACGTATCTATTTATATCATAGACACGTATATTTGAGATTTATACGTATAAATCTCGTGCCAAAAAGACAAACGCAAACGTGACTATCCAATGAATCGTCTGTGGTCCGGGACGAATCAGTTGTACGTATTAGTTACATCACAACGATTGTATATATATATATATATGTTCGTACACGATTGCAGTATATTTGCCGTGGTTGAAGCCATCATGCAAGTAAAATTACTAATAGATTTAACAGTCATTATTGATTTTCTTTTATAGGCTGTGGTGGACCGTACGTCGTGGAATGGAGCATCTTTTCCAGGGATAGTTCTTATAAATTAGAAGAAGACAATAAAATATATGGGGAGACTATGGACCGCCTGATGTGCCACGTGAAAATGATGTAGAGGCCCGTTTTTGGAAAATGTTTACGTATTTCCTTTTTTGGCGAAGAATTTATTTCCTTACTCTTACTATCTTCTATATATGAAATTGATTATAATTTTTAATGTATAATATTATATTCTGCATAGAAGAACTTCGGAAACCCAATAAGCACGAATCAAACATACATAAAATGTTGAGATTCCCAATGACAGATTGTTACCGGCAGTCATTTTTATTTTATTTCAGCTGTTTCGTTTTTTAAAAATTGTTTATGATCTTTAATGCAAAATGAAATTGAAGTAATTACTTTGTCAAGGGAATGCGTATAAACGATCATTCTAGTTAATATTTTTTACGTCCCAATAAAATGCATGTGTATATACATGATATATATTTTTTTATATTCAAAGTATTCATTGAGTCTTCGGTCCACATATTTCGGTCCACATAATATGTATGAATCCGGAATCAGCCCACATGATTATGCATATATCGACAAGGGTACAAAGACGCCCACTACCCATTTCAATCCGTATTTAAAATTATCATGTGGTTAAATATTATATATATATATATATATATATATATTATCCATTTTTTCATAAGCTGTTGATATATTGTTATCATATGTGATTAGTATCTATGTATAAATACTTTTTTTTTGTTAAACGTATGTATAAATACTTTTATTTTAACGAAAAAGAATGCAGTCTAAAGCAAAAAAAAGGAAAATAATATTATTATATTTAGTGAAATAAAAAACGAAAATTAGAGGAAATTTTGCAATTCGGCGTAAAATATTTTTGTTTATTATTATTATTATTATTATTATTATTATTATTATTATTATTATTATTATTATTATTATTATTATTATTATTATTATTATTATTATTATTATTATTATTATTATTATTATTATTATTCCATGGTCCGTGCACGTGCATTATTTCTGTATTCCTTTTTCTCCGACCATATGCGAAGGACGACCACATATTTCCAAAAGGCCAAAAGCAATAATTGGTAATTGCTATCATATTAGCCGGAATCTTCTTCGCTGCTGCTTTGATTCGCATCTTCACATTTTTTTTTAATAATTACGATTTAATTTTTAATCCTTTTCAAGAT